CCAGTCTTTGGCTGAGGAGATTGGATCCTATCGCTTTTGCATTTGTACAGCCATATGGTATGACATTCTCGGCAAGATCCAGCATGTCAGTAAACTGATGCAGTCACCCTCCATGCAGCTTGATGTGGCTGTCGACTTGCTGAAGAAAACCAGAGATTCCCTCACCAGTTACAGAAACACTGGATTTTCTGATGCACAGACAATTGCAAAGAAGATGTGTGAAGAGATGAATGTGGAGGCTGAACTCAAACAAAAGCGTTTGAGAACCACAAAAAGGCACTTTGGCTATGAGTCTCCAGATGAGCCCATACAAGATGCACTACGAAAAATGGAAACCACATTTTTTAATGTGGTCGTGGATACTGCCATCTCTTCACTTGATGAGAGATTTCAGAATCTTGGAGAGGTGAATAACACGTTTGGTGTGCTCCTCGATTTCCCCAACTTAGAAGAAGAGGACCTGCTCCAGAAGTGTCAAACCCTAAGTACTGCTCTGACCCATGACAGCCAGCCGGACATTGATGGCACAGAACTTGCAAAGGAACTGAAGAATTTCCCACCATTGCCATCAAACAATATGACAAACATGGAACTTTTGTCCTTCCTGCATGAGAAGAAGCTGGCAGAAATTTACCCCAACATGTGGGTTGCTTTGAGAATCTCTGCCACTCTTTCTGTTACAGTGGGTGCTGCTGACAGAAGCTTCTCTAAGCTCAAACTGATTAAAACTTACCTGAGATCTACTATGATGCAAGAACGTCTCAGTGGACTTGCCATTATAAGCATAAACCATGTGGTCTCAAATCAGTTGTCATATGATGATGTTGTAGATGACTTTGCTGCAAGAAAAACGAGTAAAGCTGTAGCAGGTTATGTGAGATTGAGGAGGTGATGGTGTAGTTTTTAAGTTACGGCAGTACCAAAAACACCACTAGAGGTCTTTGTAAGATCATCTTTTTATTTTTATTTAAATCCTTGTATTTTTTTGTGCCTACTCGTTTCTTTAATATCTTATTTTGCACAGTGCCGTATTTATATTGTATTTTTAAGTTAATGTCACTTCTTTACACTTTTTATTTTGGGAGTATTAATAGGTACTTTATGTAAGCTATTTATATTGTATTTCATATGTTCAGTTCATTTTTTTTTTGTATTTGTTTCTTTAATTCTTTCTAAGTATTTTGAATGTGCAATTGCTTTATTTAAATAAAAGAATGTCAAAGACAAAGCTATTACGTTTCTTATGAGTTTATACACTAGCAGTGGAATTTACTGTGATGCAACGGGGCACCACCTGAAATCTTGCCTAGGGTGCCACATTGGTTAAGGCCGAGCCTGCCCAAAACTGATCTACTATCGATACATAGGCTACACTGCACTTGGCTCAAGTCATGCCTTTTACATAAATGTAAATTTAATGTAAATGAGAATTCCATGATTGCAGCTGGCTGCGTGTACCGCCCATGCAAATAGAGGATGCATGTAGAGGTGTGGCTTTGAGTCGCTGTTGAAGGAACCCACACCGGTCACGCCCATCTTGAGAGGACGCAAAATGTCTGAAGTTTGAGCACATGTTAGGTTTAAACCATAAGAAATATCCGATTTACGGAAACAACAACAGTAAGAATGGTCACTTCATTTCCTTTCTTTTCTTCTTTCTTCATTTCTTTCTTACTCGAGATGCTGGGGCTATTTGCGTTTCATCGCCGTTAACTGGACAAATGTGAGCGCGATGTCGTCTGCTGTTGCGGAAGAAAGTTAATGGCAGGCACCTAATCCAGGTAGCTTTATAAAACTAGTTTTAATTAATAATTCAATTAAAAGAAGTATGGAATATCAGGCTGTTAGGTATTTTTAGTCAGATAGATATTGGTTAGGTACTTGTATGAGAACTGTTTAGTGGAGATAGGATGTCTAGCTAGACTGTTAAATGCTTAGGCCTGCTTATGAGTTTCTACAGGGTACATCTGGTCAAGGATAACTAGAGAGAAGAGTTGATGACTGTCAGCAGACAGGATGTTTAATATTATTAT